TATCACATTCACCACAACTCCCCTTTTTAAGGGAAGCATGGTAGTTGGTGGCTCTTTAAAAACCTGTCCATGTATGGTGACGGGTAGCAGAGTCTGATGTGCACTGGTTCACATAACACGTTGGTGGGGTTACATTTGTAAAAAGGGTTTTGTATTTCTTTAGTAGTGTATATACCAGGTGATTCAGTAGATGCCATTTTAGCCCTTAATCAACAGCATAAAGGAACATGCTACAATCTGGATTCGCTATCGCTCTAATGTAGGGGTAATGTATGTGCTGAACTTTAAAAATATTTCTTTTTATACTCATTAATGTGATTTGAGACCCAATCCTATTAACACTCTGTGTATAAAATTCCTACTGAAGTTAATGGGAATTCTGCATGTGGATTGCTTATAAAGATCAGACACTCTGAAACCAATATAACTTCCATGAAAGTTAGTGGGGATATGGGTTAACCTGTTACATTGGGGTTTAATGCTTCTTAGCTGGGAATCTTTTATTGTTCGAATTAATATCTTTTTCTGAAGTTGTGCGCCACAGATACAAAATTTTAGTGACATCCAGTGTTAAAACAGAAGGGAGTCTTGGCTTGAGGGATCTTCACAGACATACTTTCTCTATTTTATTTGAATAAAATGCAACATTTGAGTGTAAATGGACCAATTAGTTTTATAGTTATTCCGCTCAAGCACTTTGTGCTTTTTCCTTTTTCTTTTTTTAAATTGAGAAGAGTAAATGGACCTCATAATGAGATTTGGCTTCAACATTGGAGACTAATGTATAGAAAATCAGAAAAATAAAACAGAATTTTCCAAGAGTTATGGAACATGTAAGTAAGGGTTCTAATCATACATCCCAATTTAACACATGATACAATGTCAAACAATTGTTCCAATTACCGTAGTTATTTAGTAGATTTCATTAAGTGGCCATTAGGGAAAAAAATATACATAGGCCAATAGTAACTAAGAAGTGATATATGCTGCATTATTTTGCTTAATTGTTCATGCACATTCTGAGATATTATGACAAAATATTTTATACAAACTTGAAAAGCCAAAATATATTCTGTCCAAAAGCTATTAACTGTGGCGCTAAGCTTCCAGCATCCTCCTACTGTTGATACAGAAATCAGTCATTTTAGAAATGACATCAAAATCAGTTACCATGGAAATGTGTGGTAGCAAAAATTCACTGTTATGATTCTATTTAAAGGGCAGGTAGAATATTAAATGGAAACTGTCCTAGAGAGATGTAATTTAAACATAAATGACATAACTATTCAGTGACATTACAAAAATAAAATGGGTTTGTTTTCGCTAGTATGACTACGCTTTTTGAAATATCCTGGTAAGTGAAATACCTAATTTTGAGCATGCTAGATGGACAGACGTAGAGTTTGAGGATTTCTACAGGAACTAAGTGAATTATGATTGAAATATGATTTTGTGAAATATATTAGTAAATGTTTAGGGGATGAAAGGTTAGTTAATACTCCATGAGTATTCAGTTGGGTGTGTGTATGAAAAATGGGCAAGGGGAACTTATTTTGTCTATCAGTTGGCAAATAGTATAGTTCAAGCAACAAAAGTACAGAATAACAGGAATGGAATAATGTGGTGGGCCAATTTCATCACTGTTGAGATTTCATTGGAGATTTATATGATTCTGAGATTTTGAAAGACCACTGGAGTTTTCCTTATGCACCCCTTCATTTGCAGTCAACCTCAGTACAGTTGGAGTCACCCATTGTCCATATCCATTTAAATGGAAGAATTAAGTCTGAAAGAAACACAGGACTTATTTAATGAATTTCAGCATTTAGAAGTACCATAAATTAGTGTATATAACCCGCGGGTTATACACGATTTTACAAACCCCGCCCTCCCCTGCGGGGTATACATGTCCACGGGGTATACAAGTTTATTTTTACCCATTAGAATTGGGTCAGCTCTGCTCCGCTGCAGGGAGGGCCTGACGAGCTTCCAGCATGCCTGTGCTGTGCTCTCTGTTCCCCCGCCCGGAGGAGGGTGGGTTGCGTCTGGCTGCAGCTGCATGGGGCCTGGCCGTGAGTGTGGCTCCCCTCCTGCAGGCCGGCTAGCTTGCCTGTGCTGCACTCTCTGTTCCCCCCTGGTATGTGCAATTACCGTGAATTAGCCTATAGAACCTGTGGGTTACACACATCCACGGGTAATCTAAGTTTGTTTTTTTTACACAGCAAAGAAAAAGCGCTGGTTATACACGAGTGTGGGTTATATACTCTAAAACACCGTACATTGCCAATATTTTCAAAGGTGGGAAGGTCAAGCAATCTCTCTCTTTTAAACTCGTCTTTGGCTCTGAACATTTAATAATTACTCAACCAAGGAGGGTATGTTTTCCTCCTTTATAAGGAAGCAGTGACTCTGGGGGAAAAAACTATGAGGGGTTGTGTTGGATAATCAGCTGAATATGACCACAAGAATATGCTGTGACCACAAGAGCCAATACAGTCTCAGGATCCATACAGAGGAATATCAAGGAGGAGTAAAAGAGGTTATTTTTCCTCTATATTTGGAACTGGTATGATTTCTGCTGAAATACTGTGTCCAGTTCTGGTGCCCACAATTCAAGAAAGAGGTTGATAAATTGGAGAGGGCTCAACAAAGAGCCACAAAACGATGAATAGAAATCATTCCTTTTAGTGACTGAGGTCTTTGAGTCTATATCTATTTATCTTTGCAAAGAGAAAGTTAAGGGGTACAGTCAATCAATACCTACCTGAGGAACAAATATTTAACAGTGGGCTCTTCAGTCTAGCAGAGAAAGCATAATCACTTATCCCTGCCACTTATGCTAAAGAAGTAACCGTTTTTCAAAATCATCAGCCAGTAGCAACCACTAGTGTTTATTAAACTTTTTAAGATAGAGGGACACCAAACGATATTTTTGTTTATAAAGAAAACGGATTTTTTGTTGAGCAAAGGGTCGGGGGGAAAGTTATTGAGCAAAAAAAAAAAGTCACCTTCCCCTTTAAGGGGGGCTATTTTGAACTCTGTTCTTCACGGCATACCTCCGACTGCCTTGCAGCACATGGTTTAAGAAACACTGCACTAGAGAGTGACATGGTCATGCTCATTAAGCCAGTGTATTACACACGCAACTTCAAATCTGGTACAGGAGGCCCTGACTTGCAACCACCCGAGTTCTGACCCCCTGCACTTACGACCATTTTTGTAAGTGCGGAAGGGGCCAGAACCCCCCGATTTGCATCCTTGGCTTGCATTTACGATGGCACACATTGCCTATTGTAAATGCGGGTTCGAGTTACGACTCTTCCCCAGGAATCAATCACATCACAAGTCGGGGGCCTCCTGTACAGTATATTGTGTGTGTGTGTGTGTGTGCAGTTATCTAGTTTGTGTGTACAAATGTGGGGTTTTGTATGTACCAACATGAGTATCTGTGCATGCACACATTAACTATTGGCAGGCAAAAGCCAGATGTTTTGAAAAGTTAGCCCAGAAAGTCTTTTTAGGAACATAGAGGCAGTAATATAGCATGTCTATCTCTGTACAGTGCTGAAGGGGAAAAATGACTCCTCAGACATTTAATCTGCCAAGCTGTTACATTAGGGAAGAATTAGCTTACCCTGTTTATTGGGGTCTGGCACTCATTGTCAGAGAGAACTAATATTTTCCTACTCAGCTCCCATTCGTTCACTGAATCTCAATATAATAGTAACACTTATAGTTTTGAGATCTGAAAATCATAAGCTTTTACAAAAGAGGAAAGCATAATTATTACTAGATAGGGAAATTGAGGTACAGAAAGATAGTGATTTGCCAAAGAATACATAATTGATGAATGGCAGAGCTCAAAATTGATCCCTGGTCTCCTGGCTCCCAGTTGGGTATTGTATCCATTGGACCACACTAAAACAGTGTCTTTCCTTCTCCCACCTTGTTTTGCTAATTATAATAAAGGGACTAATTCTCCAGCAGGAGAAAGTCAAGTCTGATGGCTAAAGAATATGATCAGGACTCGGAACACTTGGATTCTCTTTTTGATTCTGCTATTGATCCATTGTCTTTCCAAGGCAAGTTACTATGCCTATGTATGCCTCCCTTTGCCCAGTTAGAAAACATCCTACTTTAAACATGTTGTGAGACTTAGATGGTAAATATTTTTAAAGTGTTTGAGATCTCAGATGAAAGTGTATGCTTTTTGCATACTGCACAAGTGAAACATAAAGATTCCAATACCTGCTGTTTTTGCATTGACCTTTCATTAGCCCCACAAAAAGTATCACTTGCAGGTTTGTGTTGGCTTTCCAGATTTTTTATTATTATTATTATTATTATTATTATTATCCATGATACAAACACAGTTTCCATTTTACAGTCAGCTGCTAAATATTTTTTCTTGTGCAGAATATGCCGCCTTAAAACACTGTATAAAACACTGATTATGTGGAGGATAGAGAGTGGTGAAGGGCTGAGGAGTTGGGGAGGAGTGTCCAAGTGGGAACCATCCAGTTGTGGTTATATAATTATTACTTTTAACTAAATAGAGCTTTTGAAAATGTGATTACACAAATGAGAGAATAAAACTGAACTCTGAATTGCTAATTAAACAAGACTGTGATGATATCAAGTTGGTGGATAAACTCATTCATTCTTAGTAGCTTTCATTTAATAATTCTGTTCCTCACTGTAATAACCACAACTAAGAGAAAACAACTGATTTGATTTTAATCAGGCCAGACTATAACACCACGGGGTGCGCTTCAATCACTCCCGTGTACATAATGCCTGGAGCTCCTCTCCTGTTTAATAAGTCTTTTCCACAATACACTGTGAAATGATAATACTAATTATGATGGAGATTTGAAATCCTTCATCCAAGACATAGTGCATTGGAATCAGGCTGCATTTATCATCAGCATCGAAACCCACTGTTAGGGGTTTGCTAATGATTCACTCATCTTTGTCATTGTTAAAAATCTTGTACTCACTTGATGATAGATAGTTTCCCAGTTTTCTCTCAGTGCTTCCCAGTTGTTGACATTGGATGACTTCTTTTCCAGGTAGACTCTGATATGCTCTTCAAGCTCTTGATTGACCTGTTCTAGAGCTCTCACTTTCTCTATGTATTCCACCAGGCTTCCGTTCAGGCTTTCATAGGATAGGCCCCTTCCCTTCTCCAGCCCCTGAGATAATGGCACAGCTGAACAGGAACTGCGCAGGCCTTGTAAGAAGACACTGCTGATTCCTAGGGCTCTACGGGACACGCGGGTCCCTAGGCTGCTCATGCCTCCAGTGGGGACAATACCCACATAGACACCTCGAGATCTTGGTAGGCTTCCTCCACCTCCAATGCTTAACCTTTGGCTGGTAGCCCCAGTGCTTTCAGTCATGGAGGAAGATGGCTGTTGCCCCAAGAATGAAGATCTGCGTCTTGGCATGGGCATGCTGTTGCTCGAATCTATTGCACTAAAAAAAGTTGCCTCTGCCTTGAAGCCCCTTGTGCCATACCCACACTGGTCAGATGTGCAGACCCAAGCAGATTTTTGGTTTTGTGTTTTTGCTTTGTCCCCTTCTGGAACGTTAACATTGTGTTTCACTGATCGTCACAGGCATGTTTGTCACATTGGGGCTTTTCATTGGGTCAGCAAATCCATTTAAAGAGAAATCTCTCTGCTGCTACTGCTGCAAGTATGAAAAGGACAAAGCTGTTTACAGTGAATGCAGAACAATAACTCCTTACAGTGCACATGGTAAAATAGTACTGCTGTTTTTTAGACAGCAAGCCAGACAGATTTTTAGCATTTTATATATACATTGTGCATGCGAGCACACATACACACAGCTAGATTCTTTTACCCTTACTCATGTTGAGAAGTACTTTACTTCATGCATTGTCCTATTTAGATTATCATGGAAGTGTAGAACTGTAAGGAACCACAAGAGGTCATGTAGTCTACTCCCCTGTACTCAAAGCAGGCTGACATAATAATTAGATAATTGCTGATAGTCGTTTGTCTAACTTGTTTTGTTTTGTTGGGGTTTTTTTGTGGGAGGCAGATTTCTAGCCAGTATTTTGTTATATTGAGGCAATCTCATAGCCTAAATCCCTATCTTTTTTTGCTATCATCAGCCTTTAGGATAGGAGCTAATTGGTGGAGTACCAGTGGAATCTGTTCAGCATTTTGTAGTGATTTAGTTTGCTGTCTCTAGTAGTAATTTAGTCTTACTCCTCTGCTTTATATGCCTTGTTGATTTCTAACACCCATAGCCTTTTCAGAATAGTATAGTATGTTGATATTTTTGTTATCAGGAAGGTTAATGCACGGCAGATTTGGTATCTGTAGTATGCAGGGAAATTTCTGTTGCCAGAATGGTTAGATTCACTAGCTTTTTGTCATGCTGTGGTGGTGGTGTATACTTTCCCAGAAATTGGAGAACATTGGTAGATGCATTTGTTCTAGATATTAAGATTGAATTAGCATCTTTGTATATGCAAAATGGAAATATCATGTCCTTTCTAAGCCATGTCATCCAAAACATCTGTATATTACAATTTTTTTAATGCTTGTTTCCCTAGGTATGGGAGCTAGGGTTCCTGGTATGTGGGACAGCATGTATTTTTTCTACATCATGTCTTCTGTCTTCTGAAAAAATGAGGAAGAACAGCTCTTGCGCAAGAGAGGGTTTTTGCGCAAAAGTCTCTTGTGCAAAAACGGCCCCCTAATTATTTATGCAAATGAAGTGTGACGATATTCTACTCCGTGCTTCATTTGCATGAGCTTTTGAGGAAGAAGGGTGCAGTATAGACGTAGCCCCAGAGACTTGTGCTGGTGCTGAGGGATTCTGCTCCTGGCAGTTGCAGCCAGGGTCGCCTGGACCCTAGATTTCTGCCCCCACTCCTGCATGCTCTGAGTGCTGAGCTCAGGGCATCCTCCCCTGGCAGCTTCTGCTGGGGTTGGGTGGCTTCTGCTCCAGCCTAGGCCTCGGGTCTTTCCTCCCTCCCTTGCCCTCAGGGCACCGAGCTCAGGGCTTCCTCCCAAGTGATTCTTGCTGGGGCTGTGAACTTCCACTCCCAATGGCTGTGGCTAAGGCTGCCCAGGCTCTGGGCTTCTCCCCCCTCTTCCACAGCTTCTCTGTGGCCCTGGCACTCTGGGCTTCCTTCCTTGGAGGCTCCTGCTGGGACTTGGGGTACTGAGTTGAAGCTATTGCCCCAGGACTTCTTCTATGTCTGGGGCACCCATTTTTATTGCAGGCCCCCAAATTAGCTGGGAATGCCTGCCTTACTCTGCCACTGGCCTGGGAGAGCAGCTGGAAATCTCTGGCACCTCTAGGCACCATCTCCACCTCAGCCCCGAAGGCAGCACAGAAGTCAGGGTGGCAAACTTGGGATCCCTTCTCAACTTTGCAGCCTCTCCCTATCCCATTTTGGGTCAAGACCCCCATAGTTACAACCCCATAAAAGTTCACATATCAACATCTGAAATCATGAAAATGGACACTTTTTAAAACCCTCCATCTGTTAAATTGATCAGAATAGACCGAGAATTTGGTAGGGCCCTAGTGATGGCCATGACATGCTAGGGAATGTACTAAATCAGTGACCTGATTAGGGAACCTGTGAAGGAGGCCTTCTAGAAAACTCCACTGGTGAGCTGAAGGGAACACTCCCTTGGAAGTACCTTGAGGAGATGTTGGTGGCATAAATCCCACTTTCCTTTCTACAGGGGTGAATCCCCTTTTGGTGTAGTGACTGTTGCTGGCACAAGGGAGTGAAATTTGAATTGACACCCTTAATACTAGCAGGTGTGACTCAAAGCCTATGCACATATGTATACACATTGTGACAGATAATCTATATTGTACTATTTCCAGTCCGCTCATATAACCAAGTTTGACAATTCAGCCCTTAGAGAAATAAGTACAGCTCTTATTTAACCCAATGGGAATTGTACCTGCGTCTTTGAGGAAGAAATGAGTTTAGCTCTGTTCACTCTTCTTTTATGCTTCAGATTATAAATACACAGTGGCTGTGTCTACACTGCACCCCTTTTCCGGAAAAGGGATGCAGATTAGACACTTCGGAATTGCAAATCCACGGGAATAAGAAATCCTCCGGAAAAGGGCTTATTTTCCGGAGAATTGCGTCTAGACTGGCGCTTTTCTCCAGCTTATCCCCAAGCCGGAAAAGAGCGGCAGCCATGTAAATGCAAATGCCATGGGGGATATTTAAATCCCCCGCGGATTTGCAATTCTGAAGTGTCTAATCTGCATCCCTTTTCCGGAAAAGGGGTGCAGTGTAGACACAGCCTGTGTGTGGTGTCCTGCAGCCTTTTCCACAGGCCAAACTGCTGGTGGAGTTTAAGCCCTAATCAGATCTGATGCTCATCAAATACTGCGTTTATCCTTCATTCACCAGAGTTAAGGATAGAGGGATGCACAGCTTTTGTCTCTCCACTAAGCATGTGCACCTGAATCCTCTCAATGTCCATAGCCATCTACAATAACTTGACAATAAATCTACTGATTTAGAGAGCAAGAGAAACGAGACTGCTCTGATTTAAAGAGATGAACCAAATGACCCATGATATCCATTCTGTCCTTAGCAGCTATGGTTTTATAAATCTCTGAAGACTGTGGCACAGATTCAAAATAGTGTCTTAGCATTATAGAAGGGATGGGTCTAAACTGCTTTTGTGGCCCCAAGATCCTGGGCCTGTAATCTGAGCCCTGATGCCCAGGGCTGAAACCAGGACTGGTGGGGCTCTGGCTTTTGCTGCAGCAAGTCTAAGCCAGTCCTGGTGACCTCATTAGAATGGGGTCAGTACCCACTTTGGGGTCCCGTCTCACCTTTTGAGAACCGCTGCTTTAGATATGGCATTAAAGTTTTCATGTTCTCTACTACTTTTAATACATCTTGCTCCTTATTACCCACCACGGTTTTAATTTGGCTATTGCAGCTTGCAGGCAGGCTTAAAAGATGGATGTCCTTTACTGCCCTTATACCCTATAGCAGTGGTCTCCAACCTTTTTACACCCAAGATCACTTTTTAAGTCTCAGAACAGGTGAAGATCTACTGCCCCGCCCCTTCCTTGAAGCCCTGCCTACATTACATGAGGAAATCTAATGTAAATGCACTGCGAAGGTGCGCAGTTCAGAGAGGGCTCAAGAGCTACTGGTAGATCGCGATCTATTGGTTCTATAGAATCTACTGCAAATCTTGCATCCTCACCAGGACTTCAATGTGAGTGCTGCCTGTGAACGAGAAGGGGATTAGTCCCTGACAGCACTGTTCTTCTCTTAGAATTGTGCATATTATGTGCTATCCAGATTCCTATGAACACTGTTTGATGGGAGGAGTACTGGGGATTTGGCGATGTTGCAGAAGAACGGAGGTATTCTGAGAGCACTGTGGGAGCACAGTACATAAATATCTCATTTAATAAAAGATGAAACATTCATCTCCTCTGCTTGTGCGGCTAGATGCTCACAGGAGATAGTGCCTTTTCCAACCCCTTGATCTCGCTGTCCATTCCCTACTGGCACAATGACTGAACTGCTGCCAGGCTTGGTAGCCAATTCCCTAAAGCTCCACAACTGCTAGCATCAGCACACTGTCTGGGTCTACAGTGCGAGTGCTAGGAGGGGCTCACTGTGGTGCTGTCTCTTTCATAACACAGAAACAGCTAGAACATATCTCAGCATATGAGATCTCCTGCACTTGCTCTATCAAGTGAATCTAATGTGGAATGTGTACCAAGTAAGGGCGATAAGTCTGTTTTATCTTAGGGTGTGTCTAGACTATATGGCTCCGTTGACGGAACCATGTAGTCTAGACACACCCTTAATGAATATTGTATGTGCATGTTTAAATATGTTCAGAGCTGTTAAAAAAAGGATGGTGATCAATTGTTACCCATGACCATTGAAGATAGGAAAATAAACACTTGACTTAATCTGCAGCAAGGGAGATTTAGGTTTGATATTAGGAAAAGCTTTTTAACTATATAGCTAAACTTTGGAATAGTTTTCAAGGGAAGCTGTGGAATTCCCATCAGTGGAGGTTTTTAAGAACAGGTTGGACATACAATTGTCAAGGATGGCCTAGGTTTACTTGCCCCGGTCTTAGTGCAGAGGACTGGACTAGGTGAACACTAGAGGTCCCTTCCAGCCTTGCATTTCTGTGATTGTTACTGCATTGCTGGCTCTGTGACTACTAGAGTTAATTCCGGCAAAAAATGTCAGTGATTTCAGACTAAGTGTTATGATCAGTACTCCGCAAGACTACACCACAGTTATTACCTTTTATGTTTCACCTAAACTCAAAGCACTCGTGAGGAGGGGAAGGGGGAAGGTCATGGTGAGACATAAAAACAAAAAGCTTTGGTTCTGATCAAAGAAGCATGACCAAGAGGGGGAGATTCTAGGAGACCTAGATAGGCAGTCTAGGGAGAGGCAAGCTGATTCTCAGAGTTGGATAAGTTAAGGGCCTGTTTAAATTAGCAAAGAAAGACTTAAGTTTTGGTATGAAAATGTGTGGTCAGTCTTTTATTGTTTTACCCGTTTTTTGTCTGCTAGTTACATTTCTATGAACCAAAATCATACTTGTTTTGAAGAAGCTATCCCGAGTCTTTGCTTTTTACATTGGTCATGAGTTCCTGGTGAGGGATTCTATAGCCAGACATGACTACAACTGGTGAAACCTAATGAACGGTGGGGTTCCCAGTGTACAGCAGAGGCCTGTCCCTTGGAAAAAGAGTCCTGTGCAGTACCAAATAAGCACAGTCTTCAGAGAGGCTAACCTTCCGTAGTGACGATACTGACTAAGCATTTTGTAAAAGCAGTTAGTAAATGATAGCAGGAAAAGCAGTTGGTTCAGTAGGTGTTTTGCTTAGAAATACTTTTATTTTATAAAGCCACAGTTTTCTGTAAAGTTTTACCACACTTATAAAAAAGAAGTTGACAATTTTTAGGGGAAAAAAGCTGAAAACATTTCTCATAATTCAGGGTTACACAAAGATTATATTTATAATATATATATTTATTTATAATTTGGAGACACTAAAGATGGAACTGCAATACAAGGGCAGGTGTGGGATCATATTTCAGACACTTGCTCATGTCCTACAAATAGCGTTTCTTGACAAAAGGGGTTAACAAGGACCATCCCACTGTCTCTGTAATCACCATTGGCTGGGGAACGTGGCTCAGACAGATGGTCCTAAGGAGAGAGAGAAAAAAGAGCATGAGCTATTTAGATTCTGTTATTAACTCTTGGTGTACATCACAGCACATTGCAGTTTGCCTTTATTATATATAAAGGAACATGGTGATGATATAAGCCCTATAGAGTGAAAGCTGAGAAAATATGTCCAAATTCTTCAAAGTGTCCCTATTTTTAGGTGTCCCAGGTTCTGACTATCCAGCTTTAGAAAACCAGGGCTTGATTTCCGGAGGTTTTGCTCTAACTGCAGTCAAATGGGAGCTGTGGGTTGAAAAATCAGGCCACTACTTACTCAACTTGGCCACCCAAGAATTGAGGAGCCCAAAATTAGAGACTATTTTACAGAATTTGGCCTCGTGTAATTTTGCTTTCTTTAAATTTTGCAAACAATTTTTTTGTGTGAAATGTCATATCCATTATTCCCAACTAGTTAGCTTTCAGAGAGACTCTCCCAAGCCCGCATACAAAGGAATTACATTTTTTACCTCTTTTTTTTTTTTAATGTAATAAACAACTAACTTGGTGCTAGACTGTACAGAAAATGTCTGTGATATTAACACTGAAGTGTGTTCCTTTTCCACTTCAAGTTAGTGACAAGACAGCAAAGAAACTTTATGGTTACAGTTCTGGCTTTAGCTAAGTTTTCTGCTAAAATTAGAAATTACAGAGCCCCAATGTACAATGTACTTAGGTTAAGGGTAGGAATCAACAGAACTTACTTTTTTTTTAAACTAGTTTTCCTTATTAAAAAATAGCAAGATATCCACTTTTTCATCAAAGGATTGCTTTATTTCTTATTAGTATCTGTCCATCTTGGTGCTCCTATGTCACCTCAAATGGCCGGTTAGGGATGCTGGACATGTGAGGACATTTTGTGAGACTGCCTATGCTGCACTGATCCTTAGTTGCTTTTTAGGGGCAACTTGCAGGCTGCATATAATACACGCTCTATTATGACGTCCAATTCAGTTTTAAATAACTCCAGTGGTAGGGCTCCTACAACTTCTCGTTTTGGTGACTGTTCTACACCCTAACAGTTTTCACTGTGAGGAAGTTGTCTCTTGGAATGCTTAGAGTAGATTTTGTGGTTTGGTTTCAAATTGAATTAAATAAGTGCCAGCTAACTAAGGCCTTGTCTACACTATGAGATAAGGTTGAATTTATTAAGATTGATTTTTTTTTTTAGCACCTGCTTTTGTCAAGTCAAAGGTGCATGTCCCCACTGTGTGCAAGAATTCAGCGTTGTTCAAAGTAGTGAACCCCCAGTAGGGTGGCCACCGTTGACTTTGAGAGCAATGCCCAAAGTTCCTGTCTCCCCTTTGCATTCTGGGTTATGAGCCTAGTGCATGCTGGGATCAAAACTATGTAGTGGGTGGTTCTGGGTACATATCATCAGTGTCCCATAATGCATTCGTCTCCTCCCTCCCGTACTGCTTGAAAGCAATGGCAAACAGTCTTTTCATGCTCTTTCCCCCCGGATTATCTGTGCAGATGCCATAGCAGGGGAAGCATGGAACCCATTGTGAAACCGAAGTATTATGGCAAACATATTAGCCATGGTGCATCTTATGTTAAAGTATGTTCATAATGTATCCAGGGTCCATGGAATGAGGCCAAATCTTGAGAGGCCATAAATATATTCTTCTGTGAAACATGAGTTGGGCAAATTCCGCCAGCATTTGATCCTGTGGACACAGTGGAATGCCTGTTCTGGTGCCGTGGGACCACATAGTGATGCAGCTATGGAGCAACTAGCAGTGGCCACTTTCATGGAAGTTTGCGAATTGCTTTCCCTCACCCCAAAGCACAAGAATACCAGAATGAGATCCACTCTGAGAGAGGAGAACTGAGGGGAAATTCCCCTGTGGAAGCTTGCAATGCTACCAATCAGCTGGGAATCAACTTGAAGTGGAGGAATCCACAGTGGGGTGTGGGGTGATCAAAGTAGCCAAAGCAATCAATATCCTTCTGCTGTGGAGGGCAGTGATGGGAAATGTGCAGGATATAGTGGAGAGCTTTGCCACAATGAGGTTCCCTAATTGTGTTGGGGCAACAAACAAAACACACATCCCATCTTCACCCCTCACCATCTTCCCAAAGAGTACAAGGGGTACTTCTTGATGGTGCTGCAGGTGCTGGTGGATCACAAGGGCCATTTCACTGACATCAGCGTGGGATGGCTCGGAAAGGTGCATGATGTGGCACATCTGTAGGAACTCCTGCCTCTTCAGAAAGCTGCAAGCTAGAACTTTCTTCCCAGACCAGAAAATTATATCGGAGGCATTGAAATGCCAGTAGTGATCCTTGGTGACCTTGCCTACCCCTTTCTCCTGTGGCTCGTGAAGCTGCACATGAGTAGCCAGGACCTCAATAAGGAGCAGTTCAACTACAGTCTGAGCAAGTGCAGAATGATGATAGAATGTGCTTTTGAGCATTTAAAGGGAAGGTTCTGCAGCCTACTGACTAGGTTAGACCTCATTGAAAGCAACATTCCCATTGTAGTGGCAGACAATGCTCCGTAATACGTGTGAGAGCAAGGGGGAAAGTTACATGACACAGTAGAAAGTCAAGGACAGTGACTAGCGAGTAATTATGAGCAGTCAGACACCAGGCCAATAAGGAGAGAACAGCAAGGGGCAGTGCACATCAGAGAAGCTTGGAAGGTAAGTTTTATGAATGGCCAGATTTGAGAGTCATGCTTTTGCTCTTAATGAGGTGCCCCTTCAATCAGTGTGCTTGCCTTTAAACCCCCTTCAACACAAGTAATAACATGACTCTTCAGAAATCATGCATTTTTATTTAGGGAACCCAGAGGGACAGAAAAGGAGTTCATGGCAGGAGCGTGTGTATGTGATCACAGTTGTGAGAAGGACAGCCTTTTGCTCATAGGATGTATCCCTGGGGGTTGAGTGTGAGTCTGCCCTCGATTTCCCCCTCCCCCATATCTCATTCTAGAGTCCCTGGGAGAGGAGGCTATGGAACTCAGAGAGGAGGAAATATGGTTCCACAGGGGCTGGAGAGGGTGCCTGTGCATGAAGGTGTCTTGAAAAGCCTTCGGGCGGTTCATTACATCAGCCATAGTCTTCAGGGACTCTCTCTTGGTTCCTCACGTCCAGTTCCCTGCATGCTCTCCTGCGCCACTCACATCTGCTGCAGCAGCGCATTCCTCCTCTCACTTAATTGCTCCCTGTCCAAGTGGGTGGACTGCATTTGCTCCTGGAACAGGTCATCCCTGATACATTTTCCGCCTGAGGGTTTGTGCCATCTGGAGGAGCCAGGAGAGCATGCAGAATGCTCGCTGCTGCACCCACTGAAACAAAAAGTGAAGGGCAGACTTTACAAGAGATACATTGTCAAGAATAAAGCCTAATCTCTTAGCATAAAAGGAAGGCCTGTTTGAAGACAATAGGGATGTGCTATGTACAAGGCCATAGTTATGCTTTTAAGAACCCACTATGCACCAGGTACACCTCAGAGTTCTTAGGGGAGCAGCTAGACTCAGGTGGCAGGAATGGTAAGGGCCAGGCTGGAGCTCGAGCCTTCATTGGGAAGGGGGTCCAGCCATGACTGCAAGGCAGGGCAGGGCAGGGGCTCACATGGTGCCCATATCTTCGGCACCCTGTTTGTGGGAGGAATGCAACTTTCCCTTCCCACAGGCGCAGGAGGGGGTCTGAGCAGGGCAGGGGCTCAAGCCATGCTTTCTTGGGGATGAGCAAACAGGTTTGCTGTGGAGGAATAGCTTCCCCTGCTTCATCTCATTCTTCTCCAAATCACCGAGTGATAGGGTGCTGGTGCTAACTGAATGTGACCAGAAAACTGGACCATATGCTGCAATGCTTTGTGCTGCAATGACACCAGACCACTCACTGCTGGCTTGGCATGGGAAGGTGCCCTACCGTGGAGGACAGAATAAGGCAGGCCTCCCCAGAAACCTTGAGAGAGGGATGAAAGAGTTCCTGTCGGAGAGCTTTATGGAGATGTGCAGGGAGGATTCCCGCTCCATCTCCAGACACGTTAACAAGTTGTTCTGGGGAGCCCCCATTGTGTAGGCCCAGTGGCTGCCACAGATCACAGCCAATTGCCTTAATCCACTTGTAGTATGAGAGAGAATGTGAACTCACCAGAAGTGCCCTCCCCAACATTAGGGCCCAGCTGCATGATGTCCTGGGAGGAGGCGATTGTCTCCAAAGTTATAAAAAGGTCCAGACAGTGGGTGAGATCAGTTGCCCGGCTCACCTGCTGATCGCTCCCCTCTTTCTCATTCACACTGCTTCCCGAGGCTGTCTGAGGAGTGTTTAGGAGGAATCCATGGACTGGCTGGGGAGCAGTGGGATCCCCCTCTCAGAATGCATGCACCTACTCATAGAAGTGGCATGTTTGCAGTGACTATCAAGACCATCCGTTTGCCTCCTTTTGTTTTTTGGTACGACTGCCTCAGCTCCTTTATTTTCACGTGGCACTGCTGGGTGTCTCTGGCGTAGCCTTTCTCCTCCATGCTCTTTGCGTCCTTGGCATAGATATTTGCATTTTTTTTTTGATGGTTCACAGTTCTGCGAGGACAGATTCCTTTTCCCACACAACAATGAAGTCCAGGATCTCCTGCAGGCTCCATGCAGGTGCTCATTTGCAACCCTGGGAACTCATGGGTCAGGTGTGCAGCCTGCGCCAAGGTCTGCTCGCCTTGCTGGCCATACAGGAAAAGAAATTCAAATTTTCCTGGGGCTTTTCCTGTGTACCTGGAGAGCAGCAGAGTTGAAAGCTTTGGCTTAAGCGGTCACAAGGGGGTGCTGTGGGACACCTTCCCAAGGCCAAGAACGTCTAGTTTCACAGCGCTACTGTAACATCAACCATGATGTTGAGTCTGCACTACTGTAACATCAACCATGTAAGGTCGAATCTAGTGCTACTCCCTGCGAAAAGCAGGAGTATCGAAAGTGACTTTAAGGGTCCTTAAAGTTGAAAAAATGGGCTTAGTGGTGTGGACTCATTGTTTGGAAAATTGACCTAATGTGGCTAATTCCAACCTAAAATCTCAGTGTAGACCAGATGTAAGTTAACCAACAGAACTGTAAATGATAGTCTAGGCACTCCACAAAGGCTTACTCCTGGACACACATGTTTGTCCCTTACCTATGGATGATTAAATCCGTTAACTTGAGTTAGAACAGACACTGGTCTAGACAAACCCCTTGAAGTTTAAACCTTTTCCTTATTTCATCCATTATTCCCAAGTTCACATCCTTAAACTAAGCCAACTAATTCCTCTCCTTCTTGAGACCAGGCTTTCAATCTCTCCTCGCACTGGTGAGCACCTACCCATGTGAACAGTTCCACTGAAATCAATCAGACTGCTTGAGTAAGTGCTTACCGGGTATAAAAGTAAGGGTTTTACAATCTTATTGGCAGGTGCTTGCAATTGTCACTTGTCGAGTGCATCCCTGACACTGCCACACAGCAAAATGCAG